AAGACGTGTAAGTAGAGATGAGAAGCAACAGGATGTGACGCAAAAAGATTTTGTCCTTTTATTCTTTTGTAAAGTGTTATTTAAAAGAATAAGATTTTAGAACGTTATTCGACATCACTACATTCGTTGAAATAAAGGTGAAGATAGAGGAAGAAAAAGAAGCAGAATGCGACATTAACAGAAAAGAAACAAAACGATTTGAAAAAAAAGAAAATAACAGAAAGAAAGAAAAGAAAAAAGAAAAGAAATAGAAAAAAAAAGAAAAAAGAAAGAAAGAGAAAAGAAAAAAAAAACGATGTTATTGAAATGTATATTGGGAGTAAGATAAATGGCGAAGAACAGAAAATGATAAAAGGAAGAATGATAATAGAATACAGGGAAGTAAGAAAGAAGAGAAGAAAACATAAGAACAAAGGAATATGCCTATGGAAAAAAAAACACGAACATACAAAAAAAAAACAAAAAAAAAAACAAAAAAAAAACAAACAAACAAACAAATAAAAAATGAAAAAGATAAAATTTGAAAAGAAAACAAAAACAGAAAAACCTAGAATATTGGAAAGAAATAAAAATTGACGTGAAACAAAGAACAGCATACCCAACTAACAAAAGCAGACGAATAAAGAGAAAATTGAAAGAAAAATCAAAACGAGGCAGCAATAAAAAAGGAAAAAAAAAAACAAAAAAACAGCTAATGCGTTCAGCAAAATATTCAAATTATTTGGAAGAAATGAAATTTACCGAAAAGACTGACGCTTGTTCAATCGGTCTTGGCTCTTTTACACTAAGCGATTTTTCAGACGTTTCAACAAGGAGAGGTGCAAACAAAGTAGAAGTAGCAACATAAAATTTATGTAACACAAGGCTTCAATTTTACAATATATTTCTTTTTTTTTTGACAACCATATTAATCAACAGGGTAATTATTAAAAAAAAGCAGAATAGTTTAATTAGACTATTCTTTCAATTTTTCCCTCTTTTTTGTGTTGAAAACATAAAGAATGCCTCTTTTTACCAACTTTTAACTACTGATACATTTTCATGCATAACACTAGCCCATTGGAATATAACGTTTTAAGAAGTGTACTGTCTAATAAGAGGTTTATTAACATAGACAATTCATGGAGAGAAAAGAAACTGATTTAAAATGACAATAAGAATGTGACTTGCTGGAAGCATAAATAGCGAGTTTAATTTCGTAAACTTTAAGCTGTAGTTTGTCATAAAGCCAAAGTTTAATTGTCATCATATTTGGCCGTGTTCCATATCTGAACTTAGCGAAACGTTAGTATCCCAACATTGAACCAATACTTGTAAAATTACCAACACTGATAGGATATAATTGCCAACAAATCTTTCAATAGTTTTTTTTACTAAAAGTTTGTACCTCTTTTTTTTGGTTCACATTTTTTGGGCGTCTGTCTTGCAGCTATAGTTAGTGAGCTAACCTTCACACCATTTGCTAGTATTATGAGTCCGACAATTTTTGATTGCCAAACTGAAAAAAAAAATAACTTAGTAAATACCTTCTTTCGTTATTTCAAATAAACATTCGGCGTTTTCATCTTTTTAACAAAACACATTCAGCGAGGGTGTACATCCGCCTATACTCGTGGTTTCCAAAGTGAGGCGCACACCCCATAGGAGGCCAATTTGATTTTTAAGTGGGGTAATTCAAGAATGAATTATTAACAGTGACTTTTTCTTGTAACTTCATGTGTGTATGAGTGTGTGTGGGAGTTTATACATATGGTGCATATACTGTATGTATACATAAAAATATTTGTGTGTATGTATATACTTGTGTAATTACGTATGTATATAGTATAGCTATCCACTTGTATTCGACAATAACCTTCTGCTAGGGCGGCTAGCTCAGGCGCATCTTGTGTTTATTCAACATCCACAGAGGCCACCTGTGGTTTATACTGCAACTATGCTGAGCTAGACCTTAGAGCGTGTTATCGAGTGTGATCAACAATTTGAACAAGAACAGCTCAAGCCATTGTGAGAGCTATCGACGGCACCTGTGTAATTACGTGCGTATATAGTATAGTTAGCCATTCATATTCGAGGATACCCGTCTACCCAAATTCCCTCACAAGGCTTGGGTCAATCTGTGGTATAGTTTTCAGGTACTTTTAAAATATGCCGCACGACCTTTCCAGTCCGATAACATCCTGACAAATAGACAATGGTGATATTCGAATCCGGGTTCTAACCACTCGGACACGTGACCATATAATTACGTATGTATTATATATATATATATATATATATATATATATATATATATATATATATACACACACACACACACATATATATATATTTTTTTTTTTTTAACAATTTCATAATAATTTCTTCCTTTGTACTTCAACTTTCCCCTACTTCTTTTATTTTTCTCTTTTATCGATGTAAATTGTAATCTTGTTTAGATCAAATTAATGGCCTTTTAGGCTTCCGCTACGTGAACAGGTGTTCCCGTTTTGAATAATAAGAATTATATGTCACGGAGGTGGGCATCAGGACTTGAGAGATGCTTCGGTGGGGCATGACCCCCAAAAAGATTAGGAACCACTGGCTTATACCATTGCAACAAAAAATCGAAAAGTCATCCTATACCGTGATAAATATTTGCAACAATTAGTATAATAATAGTCTAGTTACTTAATTGTTCCTTAGTTATTAAACACAAACGTTACGAAATAAATATTGTACTATTCCATTTAGATCGCAAGGAAAGACGGAAGAAAATATAACAGAGGCGTTGTTTGATGTCAGTGTAAAACAGATAGAAAGAAAAAAGAAAGAAAAAAAGAAAGAAAGAAAAAAGAAGAAAAAGATATATGATGTGATAACGCTAACATGCGTTTTACTTCTGCTTCAGTGATTTGTAAAATATGTTAATACTAATATTACTTGTAATAATTTGTTGTAAGAAAGCTTATGAGAATCACTGTAAATATGTGATTACGGTTATTAACTACAAAGCCATAATAATGACGTAAATGTGTTGAAATTGTTTTATGAAATCTGAAAAGTGGACAAATTGTTTTATCACTCAATATGAGAAAAATCTAATGAAAAATCCGACTCCATTTTTAAGACTTTGTTACACTGTCTATAACACAGCCTTCTACAAAATGTCAGCGTGATTCAGTGAGAGCTTTTAGAAATATGTTGAAAAACAGAAAAACAAAGACACCTGGATGAATATGTAATCATTGTCAATTTTCGTTGGACTTAAAAAATGTAAAAGTTTTCCTTTTCCAATGCATTTACGTATTTATCGGTTTCACTGCATCAGGTCTGATAATTAATAATTACTTATTGAAAAAAATAGATGTGGGTATATCCAGGAACTATGTGCACACTTATATATATATATATATATATATATATATATATATATATATATATATATATATATATATATAGCTTAGTGTTTAAGCCTTTTTTATTATATCCTTACTCTGTCCTGAACATTGAGTTCTCCCTGGATTCTATCCTCTTGGATTTATTTTTTAGACAAATATATATGTATGTATATGTATGTATGTATATATATTTATATATATTTTAAATATATGATTGCATATGTATGTGTATATATACCACTAATATTATCTATCTATCTATCTATCTATCTATCTATCTATCTATCTATCTATCTAATATAATATAAAAAGCTCAAACTAGTATTCCATGGTTATAATTTATTACATTGGAATTGTCATCAGGATCCAATTCATCAGACGATCAGATATTAGTGCTTGAGACTTTTATATTATATTCTTTTCTTTGCTCTGTCCTGGACATTGAGCTCTACCTGGATTCTATCCTCTTCCCACAGGGATATATATATATATATATATATATATATATATATATATATATATATATATATATATATATATATATATTCATTAATATTTGTTTCAGTAAATATTATAGACATCTTGTGTCTACTTATTTTCATACTGATTCTTTCTTGTTGTCTAATCACTTTCTTGATGTTAAGATTAAATTTATCAAAGAAGGAACCATAGTTTTTTTCTAATCCATATACTTTCGACCTTTTCTAAGATCATCTTCAGGAGTAAATTGCAAAGACAAACTTTTTGTAATTGCGATAAAACCTGCATTCCATTGTGATTTTTTTTTATAATTACTCTCAAAATGGAATGCAGATTTTATCACAATTACAATAAGTTTGTCTTTGCAATTTACTCCTGAAGATCATCTTAGAAATGTCTACGGTGCCTTTCTTGTAGAATTTCATCTTAAGATCAAAAAACTGATTAGCGAACTGGAAAGGATCAGTATAAAATAAGTAAACACAATATGTCTATATTATTCAATGAAACATGTATAAATAAAGATATGCTGCCTAAACTACATATATATATATATATATATATATATATATATATATATATATATATATATATTGAGAGAGAGAAAGTGAGAGAGACAGAGAGGCATAGAGAGGGTGTGTTAGAGATAGAGATGTGCATTTTGACTGTGCACAGTACCCGTTGCATAGTTTCCCTTGTCAAAACGTCACTTGTTTTGCCCTGCAGTTGTAAATTGGTGAATTTTTATTGTGCGTAAAATTGGAGTAAACGGGGGCTTGAAAAATGAGCACGGTAGAAAAAACAGATCCTTGGGGATCGCCTGCTACTCTTTAAGGCAAAGATTAAATTTTATATTTTGTTTTTAAGCGTTTTTCTTCCTTTTCAAATTTCTTTACAGAATTGAACGCAATAATGTCTGACATAAAATTGTCATTTCTTTTATTTATTTGAAATCTTCGGGTTTTTTTATCTTTTGTTTTCGCTTTTTCACTTTCCGTGAGTGGTTCTGAATTGTTGGCTTCTTGAAATACAAATTACATTTGCAGTAAAAGAAAGTTTGTCCTCTGAAGAATTTTATAACCAAATTTAGGGCACTTGATGGCTTATTTTCTCGGTGATGCAAGAGGACTAAATTGAAAA